ACACCACCTTTACGCTTAGACCAGCTCTTACCCCTGAGGTAACTCTGTACGGTGCTCCAATTCCATCCTCTCCTTCAGTTAAATACCTTGGTCTTACATTAGATAAAAGATTAACTTGGGCCCACCATATTAGAGCAAAAAGACTTTCACTGAACAACCGCTTTCGTATCCTCAAACCTCTAGTCTCTAATAAACACACCTCCCTTCATGTCAAACTCCTTATCTACAAAACACTACTGAAACCAATATGGACGTACGGGATACAGCTATGGGGAAGTGCAAAAAAGACAAATTTAAATAAAATTCAATGTTTTCAAAACATTGCGCTAAGAAAATTAATAAATGCTCCCCCATACATATCTAACCATACTCTCCATACAGACCTAAAATTAAAAACTATCCACGAGGAAGCCAAACACTTTTACAAAAGATTCCACAACCGTCTTTCCTCCCACTCAAATCCTTTAATTAAAAACCTTTCCTCCCTCTCAATCCCCGGCAGTCCTCCTAGACGATTAAAACGTGAATGGTGTAGAGACCTGTTACAAATTTTAATATAGAAAAAAAAAAAAAAAAATACTAACTTATTAAATATATTTAATTCATTTACATTTTTCATATAAACTATCAACATTTAAGTGTCATCATTGGGTGGCTTCTTTATTCACTTTTTGTATTTTGTATACTCATGTTATCTGTACCCCTTATCATATATGCTTATTGTGTCGTTTGATATAGATTGTATATTACGTATTAAAATAAAAAAAAAAAAAAATATATATATCTCGATTAAATATTATTTCACTATTTCGTCATTGTCTTGTGTTCAGTTTATATTTCACTTCATTACAAATGACGTATTCGATTTTCAATGAACGTTTTGCGGTCGTTAAAAAAATAGCAAAAGAAATTATGAAGCGGTAAGCAATAATTCGTACGACCCTTTTCGATTGAAAATAGCTAACAGCGTTTAATTAAAAATCAAAAGTAATCTCATTGTATTTTTTGATTTCAATCATGTTTCCGTTAGTAAATTATAACCATTTTTATTATTAAAATAGGATTTTGATTTATCTATCGCAATTTCAACTTTTTCATTTCAATCTGTATCGAATTAAGTGATTCATAACATACGATTGAATAGGTGACAGAATAGGATTTAAAGCGTAAAGCTGAGAGGAAAAAGTTGATGGGTAACCTGTTTTTAAAAAAATGATATTGTTTCACAGAATAGATAAGTTCCTGTCATTCCGCTGCTCGAACAGTTTAGTTAAATTCAAAGAATAAAAATACATTAAATAACTCACTTTTGTCATAACTGTGACAACTTAAAAGGGGGAGTGTTTAGTATGATTTTTACCTCGGTTAATGTATATCAGTAGCGTAGCTAGGATTTTCTGAAGGGGGGTGTTAATTATAATTATTATATATTATATATAATACGTACAAACTAAAATTTTTGTTTTAATTAATTAATATGTATACATAATGTCTGTAATTGAGATGTAATGTATATTCGAATTCGGATAGCTTTACCATAAACCATTCGAATAGTTGACTATTCGAATATCAGTATTCGATGCTACAATTCCTATTATTATTAAACGTTTTGTGTTGCACGAAAACGTAAACGAATAATTTTCGTCACGTATTGTCGCAATTGCGATAATGTTAACCTGTATATATGTAATTAGTATTGTGCATTATTTTATATTTCATATTGTATTATCGATTTACCTATATTCCTATAATAATTTAATATATGATACGGCTCAAGGGGGGGTTGTCATATCTACCAAACACTCCCCTTGTATACGCCACTGATGTATATATATATATATTACCTATATAAGGAAACAAATGCATTGAATATTTTTTTGTTTTAGTACAATTCACTGAGTTATGGAACTGTAAACACATATTACGCAAATTAGTGATTAATTGCGATTGTTTCACTTAGACAGTTTCACGCAAGTATCCGTTTATTGCCTCACGGTTCAATACAAATGAGAAAATGGTCATTAACAAAAGAATACTTGTAATAATCAGTGCTCGACTTGGCAAAATTAAAGAAAGGGGACTATATTTACTTTAAAAAGAAAAAAACGTCCCCAAAACTAGCTGAGCGTTATGATTATAGCGTAATAATAGTAGGGGGATGCTAAAATTTCTGAAAATTAGTTGTGGTACTCCGTCCTCCTGCGTCCCCCCTCAAGTCGAGCACTGATTATAATTTTATACTTGAAATACATTTGAGGGTATAAATTATAAATCCATAATTGTGAGGATTCATTTAAAAATTATGTACAGTACCCACAGCGCTAGATTGAAATAGAAATAGAAATAGTAGATATTTCCAGCTGAATTTCCCCTAGCCCTAGGCACATTCTATTATTCTTAGTTCTTTTATAAAAATTATAGTATCCTTCTAGTAGGAAAAGACTTTTCCTAAAAGTGTATTATTTTAAGTGGATCTTAAGTTATTTTTTTTCATCATTAAAGAATATATGAAATGTATAAACATTGTATTATAATTGCTTATAAATTATAATTCAGCTAAACCTATTTATTACTGTTTTTTAAACTTTTTGTCGTGATGTTGGGAAAATGTTAATTTTTGAGGTCCACTACATTTATTCAGAATGCATGAATTATGGTGTGATTGAATATAAATTTCTTTTATATGTGTATTTTAATATCAGACATTTAAATTTTAAAACAAAAAAACATTGTGTTTTCAAAATTCTTGATTCTTATCATTAAAATACATATTCATTACTATTATTCGAATATGAATAAATAATCTTAGTAAATCAGTAATTTTTATTTGTACTTTATAATTTTATTGTAGTTATGGTTATATTACTATATTAATCATACTAGTAATACGTATACTCAAGTATTTTATAATATACAACTTTAAATTTTAATCAAGATATTATAGCTTCAAAAAAAAAAAAAACCCCATGATTATAATATATTTGAATCTGTAGTTTGTTTTTAATATTTAATATCAATAAAAATTTTGAAACTATTTTTACCAAGTAAAGTCAGTTCGTGTGAAGTTGTGAAAAGCTTATTTTATACTATATTATAGTTAAATACAGAGGTGTTGAGATAATCCCTTCCTCCAGGGGTGTCATTTGGGGTGTGATAGGGTATGCAACGACACCTCTAACTTAAAAAATTTTGACGATTGGCCCGCCATTAATACTTCAATATACCGTTATAATAAACTTATGCATTATGTTTTCATATATATATATTAGTACCTATCTATTTTTTTCTAAGTTTTTTTTTTTTTTGAATTTTTGGTTTATCAGCTTTCTTATCAAATGTGTACGCCCCGCGGAGTTGATTTAAGCGTGTTGGTGTGATTTCCTTCACTACATTTCAACCCTACTGCCAGGGGGTTTTTGATCAAGGTTTTCCTTCCTCTAGGACGGTTGCTACCCAAGGCTGAAGAGACCGCCTGCCCTACCCTTTGTTGAGAATTGCTTTTTCAACCCTCAGTTCGTCGACCTGTCCAAAATAGGACACCCTGTTGGTAGTAAATTACCGTTGGCATAGCTCTCGGAACAGTTGAGGGACGCAAGCCCCTCCCACCACGTCAAGGTGGGTCCTCGCGAGGGGGGTTAGTCAAGATGTCACGCTTGACGAGAAATTTACTCAGCCCTACGAACGAGGCTAGAAAAGACAATATATTTATTTTTTTATACCTCAATAAGGGGTAATCGTGAGAGACTGTCTCGTGACTTTATTACAGAATATATTTATCCATATTAATCTATTAAGATAATTTATTAAGGAATTTATTATGTACACAGGTGTACACAGTCGATCTCACTCGCTTTAATTTATAAATGATAATATACTTCTACTCTCGTTAAATACTAACATAAATAATAAAAATATAATATTAAATAAAATAATAATAAACAATAATATAAATAATTTAACATACATTCTTATTGTATATAAACTATTCAGATTGTATTTTTTCAAAATAAAAAAAAACTAATTAAATTATATTATATCTTAAACTATTTATGTATAATCACAGAATGTTTTATGCTGTATTAATATAATAAATAATCTGTTATTTTTAAACAAGGCCTGTTAGTTTAATAAGGCTCACCGAGTTTTCTATATGTTACCGGCCCACTTAGTAAGTGGCGGACCTTGTCCAAATTTTTTTAATTGCATATTTCAATAGGTGCACTAATCTTCGACTTTAAATTATTAATATTTTCTGTTAGCGGCTTTTCATAACTTAAAAGGCCATAAATTGTCGCGGCCCACGGAGTTTAGCTCGGTAACTCGCCGGGTCAATCTGGCTTTGTTTTTAAATAAAAAATATAAGCCAATTACTACTTGCAAAATAAAAATTATCCGTTATCAGAGTATAGTCATATGTGTGCCCGGGCATCCCCCGAAATGTAGTAAATAGGTTCCCTAAAATGTATGTCTAAAAATAAGGGTTTCCTATTTTAACTGATGTTGTATAGATTAAATGTAATTTATTCAAATAAATTTGGCAAAAAATAAATCATGTTTCATATGAGATAGATGAATTGTCTAAGTCGGTAATACATTACGATACCTATTATATATATTTAATTTTTTTTTTAATTATGGACTTTTTAGACCATGTATCCAAATAATACTATCTCCATCCATCACGATTTTGCTCTAATAACTAGTATATTAAATAATCTGCTGAATTGTAATTCCTTTAGGTACTGTTAAACATTTTAAAATATCCAAATTAAATTTAAAACCGTTATTCTGATTCGAATATACGCAATTCGTAATATCAACAACAATAATAATAATATTAATATCGATTGTAATTAAATTCCATGTTAAATGTAGTATGTATTGCAAAATAACAGTTTTAATTAAATTATGGTGTTCGATTCCTACCGGAAGCGTTCGGGGGATCTCGGCCAAAGTTATGCGCGGTCCTCGTTTATGGTCCACCAGTTGTTCTATAAAACTCGAACAGTAGATATTATTGTTGACGAATCGCCGAATTTCCTTTCATTTCAATCGTGTGGTCAGCGTTAAACCATTGCAAACCAACAATTTATTTTACGGATCACGATCAAATAAATTATTTTGTAAGTCTTATACTTTTTAACTAATTCCATTAAAAAATATTTTATAGTGAAAATAAAATACATCGATTCATATATGTTGTAAGGTATATGTACATAAAAAATTATAGCTATGGTTCAAACAATTATTAGATTTTATATTAAATAATTAATTTGAAAATCAGTAATATGCGTGGTTAAAAGGTTAAAATTATTTTAAATAGTAAAATAATGTTTTTACCAGTTTTAAACTTCCCTCAATCAATAATAAACTATAAGTAATATACCTATATATATTTTTTTTAATTTGACCATAGTTTGACGGATAAGTGATTTAAAAAAAATATTTTGAAGTAGTTTTAATATATGTTTTTGATGAATTTAATATTTTAATATTAAATCCAAAGAATTAAATCTAATGAGTTAGATTTTTTTTTAATTTAAATGCATGATACAACCTGATTATTATTTTTTTTAATAAACTATGTGATTTTTAAAATTATTATCTCGTTTATTATTTAATTGTATGATATAGTTTTTACACAAAATGATGTTGAATTAAAATAATAGTAATTATTACGTCTTATATATAAGACATATACATTATAATGCAGTTACCTAAATATAGTTACTTTCTCATCTATTCAATTTGCATAAATATTTATTGTAAATGTAAATGACACACATAGATATGCATATATGTTATAGTTTGTTATATTTATTTCAACTACATCTGAATAAAAAATGTGGTTATGGTCAAAAAAAAATAAAAAATATTATAATACGTTTGTATTTTTTCTGTTTTACACAATATATTTGCTCCTTAATTATTATTATTTTTTTTTTTTTGTAAACAATTCTAATATTCTTCCATTATCACGATTTTCTGTTTTATAAATATGGATTTTTTACTCGAATATTTATTATTTTTTTTATATTTGTATGGTTTTCATTATTAAATAATTTGCACATACAAATACATCTTGAGCATGCAATCTCTTTGCGACGTTGTAGACTAAACTATTATAGGTTGTCATAGAATTACAACTCCCAAATACAATTGTCAATATTATTAGTATACTATCATTATTGTTATTAATATTGACTTATACTTGTTCATCTATCTTCCAAATCAGATTGCATATAATAATATTTTATTTATTTGTATAAAATTATAATTTGTAAAATAATCATTTTTCTTGCGGGGAAAATTTTGTTAAGTAAAGTGAAAATACCGGAGGAATGTTCAAATCCAAAATATTGATATTAATTTAATCGGTTTCAATCAAGACGACAATGAGTAAATTAATTTATATTATCTTTCAAAATCAGTTTTTCGAAAACCACAAATAACTTTGGCCCAATACTTGCGATATTGGACATAGTGAGACATAATTAGATATATGTATAAAATTCAGAATATTTTAAAATGGTATATTTTGAATTCTTTTACACGATTTAAAAATAACTTTTGTGTTCAAAGACTTATTCAAATAGTTTGGTATCGAACATAGTTTACTTTGGTAATACATTAGTTATAAAGTAGTCAAATACATTCTTGAGCTAAGTATTGTAGCAACGTATATACTAGTTATTATTTTGCATTAAGAAAATTTTATATTACTTGTAAATATTTAAATAATTTAAATTAATTTTAAAATATGTATTAAGTGTACGACTTTAGATATGATACCGTATTATCCAATTTATTGTAACGTGTGGGTACACTATTTAACATGTCATGTTTTTAATTTCATATGTCATACTTTTTGAAGTGTAAAAATACATGTTTTAAAAAGAAAATCTGTTATAATGTACTTATTTATGAGATTATGATCAATTCATTGCGTCATTTAATATGTAGAATTAAGTCAAAGATTAGTTGTTCGTGATGTTCGATATAAACTAACGTTTATTATGCTGGTCTATTATCGCTTATTCTACTAATTTCTACTAAACACAATTTACCAAAGTGTTCATTATACCTAATAGAGATTTATTGAGCTATAGTTCCCTTTCCGAAGAAGTTGACTTTCATTAGTAGGTATTTGGTCCTCCTTTATTTCAAAACCGTCTCAAGACCAATGCAAAATACCACCCATCGGCATGGAAACCTCTTCAAGAAACAAACTTTTAATTGCACTTTCTTATTATGTAAGTGAAGGATACGAATTTTCTACGCTCAAAAAATTATTAATTAACTTTGCCTACTCATTGAGAGTAGGCTTTAAAAATACTTCAAAACATTTGATTATTTGCACTAATGGCGCAACTAATTATATTTTATAATGAATACTTAAAAGTTTAAGGGCAAATCGAATTCCACACATCTGTATTTAACAGGTTTATTACCGATGATGTTCTAGTCTACTTAACAGATAAAGGCCACTATATTATTCGGGACACGTATTTTATTACAAAAAACAAGTTCAAAAAGATTCATAAAAAATATCAACGAAAAGTGCAGGAAAAATAAAAATAATAAACTCCATCATTATTCTATTCTCAATTTTAACTTAACAAGTAATATTGCTCCCAATCCCAGCTTTAATAAGAAACAAAAATTTCCAATGTAACTGCCACCGTCAACTACACACGAATGCTAGTTTTCCAATTATCTCGAGGCTATTAAAGCTGGTAATAATTCATTACTCTTTTTATTAACAACAATTTTGAAAACAACTGCTTTCTTCTTTAATACCCTATTCTTAAACTCTTATTCTCCTTGAGTCAACTAATTTCTAATTTTTGTTTCATATCTCTCCATTTATATTATTATAATTATTGTTATTGTTATTCTTATTATAATCATCCTTTATATTCTCTGCACGTTATCGTTATCTATATTGTAATATTATTAATTAATATTATTCTTTATCTGAAAATAAAGTTAAAAATAACAATTCTACTTAAGAATATGATTTTTTTGTAGTTTCTTATGGATTATAAGCTTTAATTGTATCTTATGATTGTATGTTTGTATGCTAAAGCTCATTTAAAAAATCAATTCACATAAAAAAATAAAAGTAACCTCGAGAATACCTGAGACTGAATTTATCCTTTGTCACTCCACTCATTGCAGATATCATGATACCAGTGGTGGGCTTACAGTTATTGAGATGCGTGTTTTAAATTAAGTGTAATGATTTTTTTAATTAGGTTATTTGCACGGAAAAAAAAAATTACTATAAAATTATAGCTATTAAAATTATAGGTGGTTACACTATATTTCAGTTATTGTTACTAATTATATTTAGCAAATATTACTAAAGTATCATAGTTGAAAAATTATAGGTACAATTTCTATTATTTAGTTACAGTTACTTATTACCTCGGCTAAGATTTAATATAAAAACGGTGTGGTTGTATTTACTATAAATATTAGTGATTTCAACTATAATTATAACAGAACTACTGTTTATTTTAGGAAACTTCGGGATTTACCAATGTTTCCGTTATCGTATAAGGCCTCTCTTCCTCCCGCTAGTAGCTACATTGATGGCATTCCGATTATCGTGATCTTTACGGCGCTATTAACCATATTGTGTCTACCAATACATATAAAAATATTAAATTTCGTTGTGTATCTTACTATTTTACCATTGTAATGTGCTAATGTTGTGTCTCGCGTTTTATTTTATTCGCACCAATAAATTTTGTCAATTTCTGCTTGAGCCTTATAAGGTAAGTTTATTTGTTTTACTATACCTACCCATTAGTTATTACCAGGGCTCGGAAGTTGTAGCACAAAAAATGTTACTTTTTAGCTCTTAAATATGCACTTAAAAACTCTAAAATATGCGTTATTGCGCTGCTTTTGAAAGTCAGTCATGATTTTATTAATTGTTTATAAATAATATTCTCTTTTATGTAACTACCTACAAATCTATTAAAATGAAAAAAAATAAATATAATTTACCCTCTAATAAAATTTAAAAGTATTCACTTTTTTTATAGAATTTGTGTATTTTTAGTGTTATACTATGGATATATATACTGAGTCAAAATTGAAAGAATGGGGATTCTCATCAGAAATCATTAAAGTTTTTAAAGGTATCTTCCATAATTAAAAGCTTAATTTAAATTAGACATACAAAGAAACATTATTCTAATACCTATATTCAAATAATAAATTGTACCTACCTATATTTTATTTAGATGAAGAAATAAATGAAATGGCATTGTTAAACTTAACTGAAACCATGGTCACACAATTGTTTCCTAAGATTGGTCAACGATCAGTATTTTTAAAAAATCTTGGAGAATTAAAAAATCTTAAAGTATGAACTCCTAAAGAATTTTTTCATTTTATATAATCAAAAAAAAGGGAGAAATGTTTTTGGTTTATCTGATAAATTTATTTTTGGGAAATAATGTAATGTATATTTATTTTCTTATACAACCCTTCTAACATTGTAGAATTTAGCTGTTAAAAACATTGAATTACAACCAAAACACCCTGCAATTGATTGGGACAGTTTGGAATTTGAAGTAACGGATATTGATAATACATTATTACCCATTGACAACAATCATGTTGAGGAGGAAATTTTATTAAATGAAATTGTATTACGGTCTTCGAACACTAGTATTGCTAAAAAAAATAATGAATATTCTTCAGGTAAAATATATTTCATACATTTTGATATTTAAATAACTACCTAATTTCTAAATTACAAATTATTATAACGTATATATCATAAGTTATTAACCTATTGTTATTTTGATACTAGTACAAGATTTTTTCATAAATGGCTTAAAATTAGGTACCTATTCATATTATTTTAATTTGCTCATTCATACAAATAATAAATCTTATTTTTTTCTTTCAAAATTTTAACTTTATATACATTTTTTTAATATATTTAAAAAAATAAAATTTAAATTATTAAAAAAAAATCATAACTTATAGATATTTTACCTATTAAATTAAGTTGGACGGATTTTAAAGATTAATGTGTTAACATTGCAGTTCTATAATAAAATTAATAATTAAAATTATTAATTTTATAACTAATAATTTTGATTTCTCTAATGATAATATAATGTTTGTTTCTTGGGTAAAAATAAAAAATATTCTATTTAATTGTAATAATATGTGTATAGTGATAAATGCTTGCGAAATTGAAGATATGTTACCATCGTTTGGATTAATAAAACATATTTTTATTACAGATGTCAACCTATCATTTGCAATATGCCAACTATTTAAAACAAATTATTTTAATGAACATTATCAGGCATTTAATGTTACCCCTATCCCAAAATATATTTGCATTAATTTGGAACAATTACATCAGAGGTCACACGAAGTCCGTGTATCTGGCTCAGATTTAATTTTTATCCCTTTATAAGTTATTTTTTATATATTATATAGTTATTATTTTTATATCTATATATATATTATATAGATCTACATTGTATATGTTTTTTTTTATTATTTGTGTAATGACAATAAAGCAAGTCAATGTTTTACTTTTGTTTATATTACATATATCTGTGTATTAATCTATTATATCTACATATGTATCTATTATAATATTTATATAAAATATGTTACTTATTAACATTATTATTTGTGCTATTATGGCAATAAAGCAAGCGTGCAATGTTTAACTTTTGTTTGTATTATATATATTAACATCTATCTATATATCTATAATATAAGTTTTTTTTTATTATTATTAGTGTAATGGTAATAAAGCAAACCAAAATTTTAATTTGTTTTATGGAAATAATTACTGCAAGTAAAAGGTCTTTATTTATTATGTATATTTTATATTTATTTAATTCATATCATTTGCACAATCAGATAATATTTTATGTTGTTTAAGACAAAGTTACATTGTTCCAATACAAATATATATAGCTAATTTTATAGGTCCCCCAGACAACTATTTTTTATGGTTGAAAAAAAAATATATATATTCAGTTGACTTAACTACATATTTTTTTATATTTATATATAAATGCTTTTATAGTTAATAACATTCAAAATACATTTTGGTGGTGGGGGAGGCTGCCAATAAAATATAGTAATTGTTACTATATATTATAGCTGTAACAAATATAAATTTCCTAAAAAAGTAACTATAATTTTAGTTGGTATATAAAAAAAAATAGTAGATATTCCTATCATTCAAATAAATAATAGTCAACATAAGCAAATATTTAATAATAGCTACTTCAATTTTAGTTGGCCCTACTAAGTATGATAACAGGTTTAACTATTTATTTTAGTCGAAATAAATATTATTTTGTAGTTTTGAAATTCAACTATAATACATATTGCTACTTCAACTATAATTGTTCAACTAAATCATATTAGTAACTTGAGCTAATTTTATAGCTGTCCCCCAGGCAACTATTTTTTTTAGTTGAAATAAATATAATTTCGGTTGACTTAACTAAATATTTTTTTCCGTGTGGACGAATGTTTCACTGTTACACTGTCTGATTAAACAAAAAAGTAACAAAAAGCAAAGAATCAGTACATCATTCAAATAACGATTTTAGAATAGTAATATTTTAAACATGTCTAATATATATGTTATGTCTAAAAATAATACGATTTTGTGTATAATTCAGGAATGTATTTCGTATGAATATAGAATTTAAATTTTAAAATACCAAATTTGTGGATAGTTATAATTTTCGAATATTGATTAATTTTCTATGCTAAATAAATATTCATAGAAACTTACGATGGGGATAGCACATTCACAAGTATGCTGCAGCATATGCGCCAACTGACATTTTTTTTTCGGCCAATTTACTGGGGTGAGTCAATCATGGAACTTTGTAAATTTAAACACGCGCTAATATATTAAAAAGTAATTTTTAAAAGTTTTTAATTTATATAATGTCATAAATAATGTCTGTAAAATGTAAAAGTAACTCTTATACAATACAGGTCTATTTCGGTCAAAAACGCACAAGTTGTCATCGGTGGATGATGAAGTAAAATTGAGAAAAGTTGCCAACTAATATATGAATTCATAACAATAACGTGAAGAGTAACTTTTATTTATTGTTAGAGTAATCGGTTTTATTTCTGTTGTATTCAGTGTAATGTATCATTATAAGTTTATTTTGAAACACGAAAATAAAATAATGCGATCAGAGAGAACAGTTTTGTTAGGAGATTTATGTAAATACTTGCAAATTACGCTAAAATGGACTGGGACAAAATTATACATTCAAAAAATGTCTATGGTTTAGTTATTATTAAGTATTTGCTGTATATAAGAAAAAATAATTTTTTTTCGGCTAGAAATTGAACAAGGTAATTAATATTTTTATCATAAAAAATTGCCTATCGAGTTGCTTTAAAATCATTATTATTATTTATTGTTCATTATTTTTGTACTTTGAATAAATCCACAATTTTAACCGACAAAAATATGATCAAATTTTTCAAGCTGATTTTTTTTTTTTAAATAAACAAAAAATAATTAGATTTATTAAAAAAATATAATTAAAAAAAAATTTTAACTATCTGATTATTTGAAAAAATGTACATTTATTTATGAATTACATGATGAAATTAAAAAATATTTGTTTATGATTACTATGGAAAAAAAAATACTATTAAAATAGCACATTAAATAGTCTGTTATGAATGTAGATACTTCTAAGCATTATTTAGTGATGATTTTCAAAGAAATTCTCATTATAATCAACTACGAAAACATTCAATATTAATAAAAATTAACAAAGTATTTTTTATAAAAATAAATACAATTAAAAAAAAAAGTTATATATTATATTACTTTGATAAAATATTTAGAAAAATCATTATATTTTGTTGGTTACGAAAAAATTTCTAAGAAAAATATCGAAAAATTATCGTTTGAGTTCGATTTTACGATTTAATAAGACGTAATCAACTTTTGATATATTTTATAACTTCAAATAGTTATTCCAGAAATCAGAGTAAAAAATATAAGTAAAAATTATAATCTCAATATTAATAAATTATTATATGAATGTTTTGTAAGCCATTTTTTGGTCTTTTAGGATATTGATTGGGCTTTCAAAGTTATTCCACACTTTGAGCTTTTTTTCAGTCTTAAACATAGAATTAAAAAGAAATATATAATATATACATATACATATATATATATATATATATATATATATATATTATATACATTTTTTTCCGATCAAACTCTATTCTGTCTTGATTATAATCTGTTTTATAACGTGTATATTATTTTTAATTAAGGAAATATTATTTTTGTATAATTCAGGCTTTCATTTATGAAGAAAAAAATTTTTCCCTCATGAATACAGGGCTAAAATATTTAAAGATCAGCTTTTTACATAAAATATTTACTTATATATTCCACTATAATAATGATTATTAATTCAGTGTAATTATCAACCGTTACAGTTAATCAGCGATATTTTTTTGTTGCAATATATTTTTTATTTGTAATAATATAATTACAAATTAAAAAATAATAACTTGTTCATATTTCTTTGTGGGGATTTTTATTAGTCATCGTGAGTCACATTGGATATGAAGAATATTGTGTTATACATTATACTGATGTGTGAATATAAGGGTTTCCGAAATTAATAGTACGCAGTAATAAATTTACACCAAGACATTAAAGGTTGCGTATTAACGTCATGGATGTTAGAGGAAAAAAAGCAAATTAAAGTCAGTTTTAATACACAGAGATTAGAAATTGAGACGAACATGGATAGATGATTTTTTATAGTTATGTTCACGATCATGGTTACCTACCATAGAATGTAAATTAAATAACAAAACCAGGTCAATATTTGAAATAATATAATCCGTATATTAATTTAAAAAATAATAATAAAAAATAACGAAATAATATTTTGAACTCAATTACTGCGAACAATATGTATATTCAAATATATACTCAAACCAATTACTATTTTGTACGTGCTGTTTTTAATACACCTTTTTTTCGTAATTTTCTTTTTCATTTCATATATCATTAAAAGTCTATGACATGCATAACGTTTGTTGTTTTCAGTTTCACTTTTTTGGTGAGGAGCCAAGTTGGGGTGTTTTTTTTTTATTTTCCTTATTTATAGATATATTTTACGTAATTATTATTAAACATATTATGTAATATATGTGGTTAGTTACCCTTAACGAGTGAAGTCCATGAAACGCACTGTTTGGGTCTGTTATGGGTTATTAGGTAAACATATTATATTCATTGTGAAAATATACTCCTGTATATTTTCTATATTTTCCTGTATATACTTTTTAATGTAAAATAAACATTCTAAACAGTCATATTGGATCAACGTCCCTGTGTTGAATAAATTAATCTATTATATAGTGATATTTATACTTAAAATTCCCGAATTTCAAATTATTAAAATATAATATTCTCTAAAAATCATTGAAAACAATATATTAATTTTTTGATTAATGTATTAATATTTTGTTTGAATAATTTAATTTATTAAAATAATCGTATTCATTATTATTAAATCAGAAAGGTACTGAAAAATAATAGAGCCCTAAAACGTCAAGTATGTGTTTTTAAAGTAATGTTCTTAAAAAAAACAATTGTTTAGAACTTCTGTGAAATAAAAATGTAATTTTCAAAATCCTTAAAATTGATCACAACTCAACGAATAAAAACAGAAAAAATATATTATTTAATTTACTTATACAATTAAAAGAATACTCTTGTAACACACATATATTAGCAGTGGTTTTATCGCGTTTTGCGTTTTCTCGCACAGCAGTAATCTTTCATTTCAAACGCGAAAATAATATCTGTTTTCCAGTTCGTTCGATTTTGAGGCTGCACTTGGGATGAATATTTCCGTTTAGTTGTCACATTTATTCGGTTAGATCAACACGTTCAAGTATAGAAAAACAAATTGTAAGTATATTTCTATATCGTGAATATGTACGTTCGGATTTACAAAGATATTTTAGCATTATTATTACTATTATATTACAATATTCATTCAAGTTCGGTTTGATACGGCTTTTTATTTCATGTCACTTAGAGTGATGTTATAAACCGATTTTTTTCTATTTGTATTATTTTATCTTTTTTTGCGGAAACTTTCGGAACTTTACATATAAAAATATAAATATATAAATATATATATGTATATGTACTCTAGTTTAAAATAAAAATTTTCTCTATTCGAATTTCGATTTATTCCCACATACATATATTTTAATTTCTTATAATACGAAGATTGATTATTAGGATGCGAATGTTGCTGCATTTGCAAATGTTCTTTTAATACACTAATTTATTGCTAAGTAAATTTTAAATGCAATGCGGATTAAAAATAATTAAAATCTAAAATTTTTAAATCCAAGTTTTTGGAATTTTTTCATTTTAATTTCAATTTGGTTGGGCTTACTAATTTTCAATTTTAAATACAATTTCCATAATTTATTAAATGGCTTAAGTCAAAAGCATATGATTTATTGATGTATATTGTTTAAATGATTTATTGTCTATTGACATTATTTTATGTTAAGTTATCACGACAGTTTGATTATTTTTAAAATTGTATTTTCTAACTGGGATTTATTGATCTATATAAATAAGATTATTTTAACACGTTTAAGATAATTTACATTAAACTTGATTATTTGACAATCGTTCTTCAGTCAATTTGTGAATTTCGTGTGATCATATTATTTACTTTTTTTGCAAATATGCCAAAAATTAAGCCAAGTTTTTCCACTGTTTTTAAAAAAAAGAATATTTGTGTTAGAAAATTGAAAAAACTCTTATATCACTAATTCAATGTAAAATATTTTTTTATATTTTTTAGAGTTTAAAAATTTTGTAACATTTTATTTATTTATTTATTGAATAAACTCCTGTAGGCTTAAGTACAGTCATACAATATATAGTTAACAGTGGATGAAACATCGATTGATCAATTAAAATGACAGTAAAAAAACAAATAAAAATATTTTCATACAATAAGATAATAAAATTACATGCACATAAGTATAATAAATGGGTGATAACTGACTAATGATACTTAAGAGTTGGGTTAAACAGTATATAGAATATCATTAAACAAATAAATCAAATTATTACAATTATTGAGCCGATTACATTCAACAGTTATACGATTAATTGGGTTGTTGGAGCTATATGAAGTGTGATGAAACGGAATTGCAAATGTAGGAATGGACCGAGAATTGACTGTGGGGATGTAAAAGTTAAAAGTTTTAATACTAACGTATCGTTATTTTTTAGTACAATTTTTTAATTTTTTAAGCGCAATTGTTGGTACTTTTAAGTGCTGTAATGCAATCAATTTTACTAGTTTTTGACTACTATAACACCCGTGTCTAATTATCACCAATAAGAAAAAGTAAATTCATTTTTTCAGAATTTTTTCTAAGTATAATACATATCAAAGAACAATTTCATGAAAATATTAAATTTCATTGCTATAAATAGAAATAAAGTAGAAACAATTAGATTCTAAGATTTTAAGTGATACTACTTGTATACTAATATTATCATTTATATATTTTAATTTAATTTTTATAATATAAAAGTGGAGTGAGATCAGTGAGGGATATCTCATAAAATGTTCATTCCTTTTTCCATCTATGCTTTTTATGTTTATATATAATTAACAATTGGGTTACTGGAGATTTACTCTTCGATTTGAAAATAAACATTTTTATATAATTTGAAAACTAAATTTATACATTTTTTTGAGGGATGACTTTATGACTTAAGTTTTCAAATTATGTAAAATGTTTATTTTCAAAAAACATACGATTTAACCGATAAAACGATTATTAGACATTAAAAAACCACCTTGTTTTTTGTATATTCTTGTATTTTTTACTATTAATAAGCAGTTCAAATAGCCATAGAACATTTTTTAATTAACTGATTACAATAATGTAAATTAAGAAACTTTATTTTCTTTAGTAGGTATGCTTGAAAATCATGTTGACATTTTTATCTGCAGGGGTGTGTATGACATTGTAACCACAAAGTAAATTGTTCTAAAAAAAAACTCCTTTTGAAACTTTAATGCCAAGAATAATATTTTAACAAAACTTTTTCTTTCATACTTAAACACCTGTGGAGCAGGTAGAGATAATAATTAATAGTGTTTTACCAGAAGGATATGAAAATTAATTTTAGGCGAGTGTTGAGGAGTTTTTCACATTCCACTACTTCAATCACACAAATCGACTCCATAGGTGCATTAAATAAAACGTACATTTTTCTTTACTATTTAAGAAAAACAAATAATTAATTTAATGAAATACTTCACCGAAATGCGGGAATTCATTGATTTACTGAACAAACAATATCAACATATCCAGATCCGATTCCAGAGACTGTCATGTGTAATATTTGTCGGGGACCTTTAAATATATAAATTTTTGTACAAATTTAACTTACTGCTTACCCATTCTGCTACACTAACCCTAACCAAATTCAAAGAATACGATTTTCATGAAACAAAAACAGCAAATTTACACTTAACATATATTCTAGTTTATTGACCAACTATATTGTCCATATTTTTACACTCCAAATTTGTCACGGTTTATTTAAACCCAATCCACCCATGTTATGTGGACGAAAACATCACTTTTTCTTTTCATTGATAAAATTATTTTTATTAAAAGCTAATTTAAATATTTTGCATTCGACATTTATTTTTTTTTACAAAAAAGAAAAGAAAAAAAGTGTAAAATTCTGATATTTTGTAAATATAATATAATTTATGTAAATTTGGGACCCTTCGAATCCCGAGGACCCCGGTCTTGGCCTTTAGGGGCTATACCTTAAGATGATATTGCGCATATATACATCTACAATCGTACTATGACATTTTTTCATATTAGTTATACGTAACATTATGGCATACAATTCGATTAATCATACTGCCTTTTATTGAAATAATAAGACTACTGAATTAACGTAAATTAATATTATGTGGAATTGAGTTTTAAAAAAACAAAAATGAGTATAATTTTTTGTTTATGTATTATTTAAAATGATTGATGTTTTAATGTTTTGTCATGATACATCTCAAATGGAAGTAAATAATAATATACAGATAGAATTATTCAAATATAAATTGGGGAAAATTCAAATAACTGTTTTTAACAACGTTTCTTAGGTAGAACTCAATTTATTTAATTTGAAATTCTCAAAATTTAAATTAAGAGATACGTTGGTTTTACCATACCATCAAAGGGTACTTGAAAATTACCAGGGTTATTAAACAATATTCAAATGAGCAAAACATATTTCTGATAATCTAATTGAATCGTAAGGTATCATTCTTATTAATAATTAATTTAGAACCAATATTTATTCAAGTCGAGTTGTTGTTCTAGTTGTTCTTGTTTAGTTCAGTTTTGTATATTGATTCATGGATCCTCAGTGTCAATTATTAACCATTGACACTATTAGAATAAAATACTGAGCGTTGTTAAAATTAAATGTATTATTACGAATGATATAAGGGTGCGCTATTCCCAACAATCCTTATGTACTAATATTATTTTACCTTCTATCAATGCGATGAAACTAATAATTAATAATCAAAAACTATAATTTATAAATCATTTCTAAAACCTATACGTGGGCGTACGAACTACAACTATAAGGCGCAGTCAAAAAATCAAATACCAAAAAATTTCAAAATTCAAAATATATTTCAAAACATAACTGTCCAATTATACACAAACGTTCTTTTTTTTTAATTATTCTATCCATATTAAAACGATTAACGAAGAAGCCAAAGCATTTTATAATTGATTTTATTGATTTTATTCCAAACCTCCGCACCACTAAGACCCATTCATAAAAAATTTGTTCATCCCAACTCCTACTAGAAATCCCCATCGTAGATTTAAAAGAATATGTAGTTGTCGCCTCGCAATATATGTAGTTGTCACGTAATAATACTATACCTTCCTGTTTAATAAAGTTATCCTTTCATGTACTGCCAAACCGCAAAATAAGAATTATGTTTGTAGTGTTTTAAATCTGAACTATTTCATGTGAAATATTTTATATGAAATATTTCATAAAGTTGTGAAGTATTAGATTTGTATTAACTGTTTCACTATTTTGCTTTACCATAGACCATAATAGATGGGATAACTATCTACATTCCTTAGTTCACCGAAAAATATTTTCATTGACCTTAAAATCTATTGTTATCATTTTTTTCAGTGATAATCAATGTTGGGACTTATCTAGATAAGTTATCTAGATAGATTTGTTGTCATCTGTTATCTTATCTAGATAAATAACGCTAAGTTATTTAATTACTTATCTAGATAATTTCATCTAGATAATTGTCTGTATTCTTGCCAAAATTAGAGTTATTTTTATTCTTGTACGGAGACGAATCCAACAAATCAGAGATCAACAAAATCGGTCCAGCCGTTCTTGAATTATAACTTCTGTAAATAACCTGACTTTCTTTTATACATATAGATTTTGTATTCATAACCATAATTCGTGTATTATTAATAAGTAATTATTATTTCTTGGTATGACATTTTATTTGAATTTTCATGTTGGGTAAATATTTTTGGTATTTTTAAACTTAATTTCTTATTTTTCCACGGAAGTTCCAAATATAATAGGTATTTGATTTTAATATAAACATGTCACTCATACGCTGAATAGTCATTACTTCCCTCTTGGAACCCGTAAAGTCGTAACTACTTATAGAATGATGAATATCATCAAATTATTATTATATGGAAAACAATATTATTAACTTAAAATATTTTTTTATGTATTCTGTATTCATCTTGATACGTACAGAGCAAATTTCATTTTTTTTTTTTTTTGTGTAACAATTTAGTGATTAACTATAATTAAATGTTGTACATTATATATAAATACTGTTTAATGGTACACTAAATTACTACAATAAACATTAAACACCAGGTACCTATTGATAATAATGATTATAATTGAGTTTTCATAGACATTATTAGAATTTGAAATATTGACCAAAAAATAACATTTTTTGAAAATATCTTTTTTTTTTATCTAGATAAAAATGAAATTATCTTTTATCTTTATCTAGATATTTTAATTTTTTTATCTATTATCTTTATCTACGAGTAGATGAGTTTGGACATATTATCTTTCATCTTTATCTAGATAAATTTTGCATTATCTATTCCCAACACTGGTGATAATCGGTAGGACGCCGGCATAATTTATAAATAAATAATATATATATCAAAATTGTATTTTAGGGGGTCAAAGGGGCGATCGCCCTCCTTTGGATTTAACAACTTTGATTGGTATTTGGTATTTCGAGTATTGAGTTTTCGACTTATCCGGTGCTATTTGATTCTATGATTGATTCATTTAATTCATTCAAATGGGACTTGTTATAGGTATGATATCTCCTTTTGCTGATCCAAAACAACAATATACACAAAAAGAAAATTATTACTAATTAGGTGTAACGATCGTTGATTTCCATGCAGGTAAACCGTTGTGCGACTTATTGTGACCGTGTTTTCGTCCTCGGATTTAGACCACAACTCGGAGTTCTTGTGTGAGCACGATCAGAGAGTGTGTTGGCGCCATGATCGCGGTTAACTTCAGTAACTTCATCGCCGATGGAAGCAACGACACTCTAACACCTACAAGCGACTACGATTACGCCGGCAGACCGGAAACATACATCGTTCCCATATTGTTCGCTGTTATATTCATCGTCGGAACCATCGGCAACGGTACGTTGGTGTTGATATTTGTCCGGCACAAGCAGATGAGAAATGTGCCTAACATTTACATTCTGAACTTGGCGCTCGGTGATCTGCTGGTGATCATCAGCTGTGTGCCGTTCACATCAACCGTTTACACGGTAAGGTTATTGGTTGTATGTTGAATGTAATGTACACATTATATATAAATTATATATATGAATTTCGTATAATTATACATACAGGGTGATTATTCTAGGAAATTTTTAAAACATTTTGCTTTACGCTCTTCCCAAACGCTTTATAGGTTTTCAGTTGATAACAATCATCGGCTAACCTTAACAAATCCCCTTGACGAGGATAATGTGTGACAAAGGTCATTGAATTAGGAAAGAGATACCGAAGAAGAATATTTCAAGTTACTATTGTATTTGCACTCCTTGGTTCCTTTTCCCTTAACTAACTTTGATAACAGTGCATCAGGTTGAAGAAAAAGGGAAATCAAAAGTTTGTATAGTTTTGTCCCGTACTACCACGTTTCGGAGGGGATTGCGATTCTTTTAATGGATAAGTAATACGATTATTAAGAAGACGCTAAACACGCATGTGTTGTTTCCGTCTTACAAACGTGTAACAAAGCTGTGCGATGTCATAGATTTTTTACGATATAAATTTCAAGCGAGATATGATTATGTAAAATATTACTTTTTATAAAAAGCTCATAACTCACTTGAAATTTTAAAATATCGCGAAGACTTATAATATCGTATGTTCTAATTCAATATTGGTTTTGCTGAACGCAGATTTGCTATGTCGTATATTTTTAAAGTGAAGACAATACATTTGGTTTTCTCTAAAGTATAATATATATTTTTTCAATTGTGCAAATAATCATATTTTATTATATGAAATTTAACCATTTCTATGCAAAGTGTCTTTTAGATCAAAATTACTTACAAAATAAATTCACGTTTACAAGCAATTATCGTGTTAAGTTATTTTATGGGAACGAATTTATTTTTCCTTGTCTATTTTAAACGTTAGCGCGGTTTCTAATTTTTCATTGAAATCTAAAAAACTAATTTAATGGAAACATTGACGACAATTTTATTAGCTTTGTCAATTTTGTACGCAGCATACCTACAGGAAATATAAACGATGCATCTCAAATTAGAGAATATGACTTACGTTTTATTTAATTTCATCGATTCTCGTTTCATAATTCATTGAAATTAATATATAATATTGTATTACATTGTTATTCGAATTGAACGACCAACTTCTGTCAATTGCCAAATCATCGAGATCGATGACCTCGTTTGATGTCACATTACATCACCAGATACTAGCTGAACTTTATTAAACATCTTTAATAATATATTAATTAATTATTTTAATAGCCAGCTTTCCTAAAAATATTCGGTCACTGGAATTCTTTTATATTTATTTTTTTTTTATTTTATTTAAAACTTATAATCTGTGTTCAAAAACACAATGAGTAAATACGAGTATAATGATTTTGTACAAAATTAATAACAATAACATGGTTGCTTAATGAGGGTGGCTATTCAGTGATAGAACCCTGCAGATCGTGATAATTAATTTAGTCTAATAAATCAAGACACCAACGTTTTTTTGGAATTCATCCCAGAGTATATAAGAAATAAAATCTATAGAATATATTATTTGATTAATATTGTTATTATTAAAATATCATCAATAGCGACCGTTTTTAGTAAAGTTTATTTAAATTTCTCGACGAATTGAAAATAGTTTGTATCTTTTTTAGATGAATTTACCATATTTTTATAACTCGTACGGACATTATTACATTTTTTTAACAATGTTTTATTATAATAAGTTTGAACTTTGTGGTAAAATATATTTTAGAGACATGTGTGCAAAACAAAAGTTTTTCCATGTTTGATCAACAACCTAAATAAATTTAACCAGAAAAATAGTTTTTTTTAAAAAGTCTATATTGTAAAAAAAAACTAACTTGTACTACAAATATAGCGGTAAAGTTCAAACAGTAAATTAAATTTTTTAAACTAATCGGCACCACTAGGGTTTTTAGTTTTTAAACGTAAAATGACTAATTCAAATCTACTAATTTCGTTTAAATTATAATTATGCCAATACATTTTATACCACAATCACGACGTATTTCTGGTCCGCTGATAAGATTAGGGCGAGCTCGTGCACACAAGTGTATGGTCGATGAAATAAATAATGTAACCTCTGTTTTTTCATATTTATATGTATCACAGCTAATCTCGATCAGTGAATGTCAACAATATTGCATATACAATGTTGTACATAGCGTTCCACAAAATCTATGATGGATTTTGCAAACAAGGAAATATTAAGGGTACTTCGGTTGTTATTTTATTCAATTTTGAACTTATCGTAAAACTTATAAATCTTACGTTTACGCGTAACGTAAAATAACTAATTTTCGATAATTTTACGATAAAATATCTTCGTCGAAATATTCACGTTAAAATATCTCTGATGGAAAGTTTTTTTAGATGCGAAAAAAATAATTTTCAGATAAAATGGACTAACCGATTCTAGAATAAGTGTACCTCAGTTTAGTAATGTGTACAGAAAATTTTTTTGGGAGGGGCTACTATGAACAGGTTTAAATTGCCTCTGCTATCTAAGAATTACTAACAAGCCACAGTAGGTACTTATCTAAATTTCATTTACAGAATATCCCAAAACTATTTGATAAAGGCAATAAAAATTTTCTCAACTGATTACATTATTTATGTATTTCCTAAAGTAAGTATAATCGCGTATTTACGAACAAAGAATGATGTGGTACTTGACTATTTAATATATATATATATATATATGTCTACTGGACTATTTCTATAATAAAATATGGTATGAATAAAATGTATTATACAATTATAATTTATTTATTTATTATATAATTAACTCTTAATAATAAGCATTGATCCATAAATTGAGAACCTTAAAACATGTGAATGAACTATTGAAGTACAATTGAATAAAATAAATGCAACCAGGTTAAAATCATTTTTTATTTTTTTTTTATAAAATTATTTCTAAATAAGCATAAAGCACCATTAAAATATAACAAACGTTTAAAATAATTTTTAAGTTTTTTGAAACATTTCGGGGTAGGGAGGGCTGTATCCTACTAGGCACCCCCTATATATGCCACTGCCTCTGTATATGTTTATATACAATTATATAATAGTTTTTACTCGTTTCATCCGTTGTCAGTGTAAAGCTAGAACTTATTTAATATTTCTTACGATTGTCGCAACATCAAATACGTTTATTGCTATAATTTTTATCATAAAATACATGACTAGCATAGTGCTTATTGTTCGTTGGGTGTGTGTTTTTTTTTTTTTGATTTTCACGCCGTGCCCCGTTCGATTACAGTTCCAGACGTGGCCTTACGGGCTGGCCGTGTGCAAAGTGTCGGAGATGGCCAAGGACGTGTCGATCGGCGTGTCGGTATTCACGTTGACCGCGCTCAGCGCCGACCGGTACTTCGCCATCGTGAACCCGATGCGCAAGCTGCACACGTCCGTCGGCGGCCAGTTCGCTACCAGATTCACGGTGATCGTGGCCGTGGCCATCTGGGCGGCGGCCGCGGTGTGCGCCGTGCCCGCCGCCCGATTCTCGTACATCCGCCAGTTCCGCGCGCACAACATCACCCTGTTCGAGGCCTGTTACCCGTTCCCCGAGGACCTGGGGCCGGCCTATCCCAAGGCCATGGTGATCGTCAAGTTTCTCGTCTACTACGCCGTGCCGCTGGCCGTCATCACGTGCTTCTACGTGCTCATCGCCCGGTACCTGGTGCACACCTCCAACAACATGCCCGGCGAGCTCCAGGTACGCGCGCCCGCCGCTGATCGTTAATGTTTCTCTCCCTCTGTCTGTCTCGTGTGCGCGGTCCGTCGCTGTCGGTGCTAAAACCGCCCGTGCGTACATTTCGGCCAACGGCGCCCACGAGGCTGCGCGAAATCCTTCAGCAGTTGGTTTTTTGAAAACCGAAATCTGAAATCGTAGCACGAAAGTCGTCTAAAATCTTCTTAACTTTTCGAGAACGATTTTTCTTTTCTTACTACCTATACATTCACGTTTTTTTGAGCGAATCATTTTCCAAAGAAGTCCAAATATTTGATAGATATATAATGGTTTATTTTTTATCCATTTATGATATTTGTACAATAAATACAATAATGATCAAAAGTTTGTTCAACAAAAATAAAACCGTAACTTATTGAATAAAAAGGCAACACGAAAACAACACGGCACGCACTTGCGAACAAAAATATTGTGCAGCTCTATGCGTGACCTTTAATCTTATTGACGTGGTATTTGATAGCGCGGCAGGTAAATAATAATACGATAAAATATAAAAAGAAGCACCTTTTATGAAATATTAAATGTTTGTTAAACACCACCAACGCGCAATGTGTACATTGTACACGTACGCGTGTGTGCTTATATTATAAATACATACGGTTATAATTAAACAATGATATTGAGTCCATTCTATATGTTCACAGTTGAAACAACATAGTGCTCATGCGTGACAATATAATTTTGTTATTATATCATAAATTAGCGCTTCCTAAACTTGTTCCGTTATACTTTACCCTTTTCGGGACCGAATTCGTAGATTTATAAAGTGATTGCGAAATATAATATTATTTATTTCTTTAATTATAACGAGCAAGGACCGAATACAAACATCAAAATAGCATTTGAACAGATTAAATGAGATGTCATAAACTTAAACATCTACTTATGCTATACTTATAAATTATTAAAGTCTTAGTATAAATTTTATTTTTTTTATTTTAAATTTATTCCTGATCCATTATAAGTTTTCATTTATTTATTCAACAATATTTCGGTAGACAATTATTTTGTCACAAACGCATTTGTATGTTATAATTTTATGAAAAATGTTAATCATGGTTTTAAATTAAAATATACAAATATTTCAATATTTGTGATAAAAATAAGTAAAATTTAGTAAAAATATATTTACTATATAGTATAGGTTATAGATAATACGTATAATGTAAACTATACTCCATTATTAATATAACACTTATGAAGTAAATCAACCCATTTTATTGAAATTTAAAGTAGTAGTTAATGAATAGTTATTAAAATTACAAACTTAAATTATATGAGCTTATAAATTAAGAAATATAAAGCATTTTTTTTTTTTTATATAAATTCGTAAAATCTTTTATGAGTTGATATCATAATTTTTCCTTTTTCGGAAATACCTGTATGTATGTTCAAAACGAAAACACTTTAAATTTGCTTTGGGTCCGAAAATCGGAAACGTTAACAGCACATTATACTTAAAAAATCATTGTGTCCAAAAAAGGAAATATTATAATGTCAATATGTTTTGTTTTTATTAAAAATGACATTTCATAATGCACGTGATGCATTTAAAAATATAATTATATAATTATAATACGAGTAGTAAATTTTATATTTTATGAGTCGGACGAGTCCATGTATCCATTTCGATTAATTAGCAGTCCTCGGCTTAGGAAATACCGATAAAAGCCAATATTAATCATTATACATACTTAAAATTCATCTTATTTTGTAGCGGTTAATATTTGAAATAACTACATTAGAAATAATTATTTAAATCACTCTATCACTTTCTGTTTGGTGGCAATTATATTTTAATTTTTTAATTTTTATCTATTGTATGATGAATTAATTTATCGCATAAAAATGAAAACAATAACAGTATAATATTATGTAGATCGTTTGTCAAAGGGTATTAGGGCCAAGAGAAATATTAGCTGTATGGTGCAATTCAAAGATTTTTTCTTCCGTCGTGTAAGAATTAACATACGTGTCTGATTTTTATTGTGTAGGAACTTACATATATAGTATATATTATATACCCTTTTCCACTATGTAGGAACTAACATATATATTTTTAAACCTGTTAGGTCTCGTGTGAGAACTTACATTCGCCCACTGTACTTGTTATGTTTAAATTATGAACATATATAATGCAAAATTATATACTTAATGTATATAGTTTAATTTATGAACATACTAAAAACAAACTAGGGTAGGTACATAATATATTTCTGATCTATATTCATGCTAAGCCCATGATTGTTGATTGAAACATTCATACAGGTGATTCATTCTTATTTAAAACCTATGGACATTTTTGCAACTTTTAAAATTTTAAAGTTTTCAGTTTTATTAAATCTTAATACTTATATTTACCGAAAACCATTCCTTATTTTAATAAGGAATCGTTGTCGGAAAATGTATATTAAATGTTAATTATATACATTAATATACTTATCGTATATCATGTAATTATATATTATGCAACCGTTTTTTTATTTCATTGGTGGGTGGTGTTGAATACTTTTGTTTTGCCCCCTCCCCCAATGATTTCAACTAGTTTGTGCCTCTGTGTCTGCATACTTTTGGAAAACGCGTTTCTCCCTGTGTCGAATGATACCCGTACAATTGATGCGTGTACATAATCTAATGAGAATGATGCGTGCACGATATTCTACACCAACTGTGCAAAACCTTTTTTGATCCACGACCAATCAAATGAATTTATTTCGATGAGGCGACCACCCTTCCTACCAACATTACACGCTGAATATACACTTACTTAATGCGTACAAAAATGTTATTCGTGTAAATCAAATCGTCAATATTAGGCAATTCTATAATTTTTTCAATCCAAAACATCAAAAAAAAAAAAAATAATAATAAATAAATAAATAAATAAAATAAACAAATAAAAATAAAATACAAAATCAGTGTTTTATAAAATCTAAACAAAACATTGTATACGATACATAATTTTTTCATTCGGTGTTAAACTATTGGCGAAGTCCTGAATACAATTTGAAGACCCCCCTTCCCTCAAAGACGATGCGCCACTGCGCTCTCTACACTATTATTTCGTCCAGGGACAAATACGTCAAGTGCGGGCGCGGAAAAAGGTTGCCAAGACCGTGCTGGCGTTCGTGCTGATGTTCGCTGTCTGTTTCCTGCCGCACCACGTGTTCATGCTGTGGTTCTACAACTACCCCAAGTCCACGGACGAGTACAACACGTTCTGGCACGTGTTGCGCATCGTCGGCTTCTGCATGAGCTTCATCAACTCGTGCATTAACCCTATCGCCCTGTACCTGGTGAGCGGCACGTTCCGCAAATACTTCGACAGACAGCTGTTCCGATGGTGCGCGGGACCGATGGCCGCAGCGGCCACCGACACCAACGTGTTCATGATCCGGAAGAACGGCACCGTGAGCCGGGACGCGAGGATCAGCGAGTCCGTCGCGGCCGTGCAGCGGGCCCGCGTCCACGACGGCAGCCGCAACCGAGACAAACAGCAACAGCAGCAGTAGGATACTCCCGTCCGCGGTGACGGCGTTCCGGATTTTGAGTGTTAAAAAAAATAAACCCGTTATTTATGAATCAACGAGGTATAAATACTGTTTATATTCATGTACATGCACGCACGTTGTACAATCGGGGTAGGACCAAGGGGTTCAGAACTCCCTTATTTTTTCTATAACAGGGAAAACATATAAACTATTCAATCGTAGGTAATCTAACCTTTTTTTCATAGATTTAATACATAGTAGTTAATGAATTGCTTACTTTTTTGAATTGTAATAGATTTTAAATTTGAAAAACCAAGTATATTATTTACGTTTTCAATAATGATATAGTAATAGTACATTAGTTAATGAAGTTTGTACATTGATAACTAGAATACATTTGATTTTACCAATAAGCTGTAAATAATAGTCGTGAAAATATTATTATCTATAAAAGTTATAAATATAAGATGTACAGTGATTTCTTTCTAAATTTGTAGGAATGATAAAAAATAAATTTAAAATGAATAAATACAAATTTATAGTTAATTTTTTAGATTTGGATAGTACTAAAACACATTTTTAGTTAGGAAAGTGTTGTTTGGTGTATATAGTAGTTATTTAAAATTACAAGTTTGTAAAAGTAACGTAATAAGTTCTATACCGTACTTATCAAAATGTTATATTTTTCTCTTTCTTCTTTAAGCAATTCTTGTCTTTGGAATTGTTGCAGGCACACTTGTCTCATGAGTTGATCAACTGTTAACTTTAGATGCCCCAAAGAATAAGTTACATATTAGTAACATTGTGACTCAAACGTTTTGCGTATGTATTCGAAGTGTTACAGTTCACAATGTTTACTTGTTAGTATAAACATAATGCGTAATATAAATATATATGCGTTTTATAAATATAATGGTTCAGCACTTTTTTTACGTTGTTTGTATGTTTTTCAAATCATTAGAGTATATTTTTTAAACGTTTTTATAATTTTCATTTGGAAGACATAAAAATGACACATTTATTTATTTATTTATTTATTTGAATTAAACGGACTAAGTCCTTATACAATATGGTTTATAATAACAGTAACAAGATACTTTAATAAAATTAATATGGTACATTAAATATAATATATAACAATAATTATAAAACTATTTGATAAAAATAAGATTTAACTAAATGTATACAATAAAATAGGTATACAAAAGTACATAAACAAAACAAGACTAACTATAATCAAAAGTATAAGTATTACCTGCAATCATTAAAAGGTTAGCAGGCGAGTTTAGCATATAATTTTTAATCAGAATAATTAGGATAAAAAGATATAGGATTTTTAGAATTAAAGGAATTAATTTTAAAATTGATTAAGCAAAGCAGATCAAGACAATCATACCCACCAGAGATTAATTTTTGTAGAAAATGAGAGAGCAATTGTAAACGCCTGTCTTTAAGTAGAATAAGATTTAAATAGTTTAGAATATTATCATATGGACTATGCTTTGATCTTTGTATATTACATTGAAAAGACATATATCTTAACAAGCTATTTTATTTAGACTTAATAATTTAATTTTGTTCTTGTGTATTATTAATTCAAATTAATGGGCAATATTCAAGGTTTGAGCGAACTAGAGAACAATATAAAATTTTTAGCACTGAAGGATCATGGAAATCTTTACATGATCGTTTTATAAAACAGAATACGCATTGCTTTATTTTTATTTAATTCGGTATGGTAAGTAAAATTTAATTTAGAATCAAAGATAATACCGAGATCATTAAAATAAGAGACCAGTTCAAGATGAGAATTTGAAAAAGAATAATTAAATATTATTGGATTTTTAATTAAATTAAAGCGAAGAATTTTACATTTTTCAATAATTAGGAAGAGATTATTTTCTATACACTAAGTTTGTAAATTGTTAAAATCTGTTTGTAAATCTAAAGTATCTTGATCAGTTATTATTATTTTGAGAAGTTTAGTATCATCAGCAAATAAGAAAATTTCAGATTTTATTATGACGTTAGGTAAATCGTTTATAAAAAAATTAAAAAGGAGGGTTGATAAGTGATGGCCTTGGGGACACCTGACGATACATTAAATTTGGGAGAATAGAAATTTAGGTGTTTAAAAATTTGAGAACGATCTGATAAAAAGGAGCGAAACCAGAAAAGCAAAGGATTAGAAAATCCAAAGTTGTGTAATTTACTGGACAATAATTCAAAATTAACTAGATCAAAGGCTTTGGAAAAGTCTGTGTAAATGATATCTGTTTGTGCATTGGATGCAAATGAATTTAATATTAAATTTTTGACTAAGGATAAATTAGTACACGCTGATCGTTTAGATACAAAACCATGTTGATTATTGAAAAGATAAGGGGAACAGTAAGTTGTTAGTTTAGTTGAAATTAAATTAGAAAATATTTTAGGAATAGTAGAAAGTTTAGAAATGAGACAATAATTTGAAACTATTGAGGAGTTACTTTTCTTTAAGCGTGGAGAAACAAATGAGGTTTTCCATAGTTCCGGAAAAGTACCTATGTTAAGCGAGGTATTTTAGATATATGTTAGAATTGGTGTTAAAATAAACCTGCAGTTATATAGGAAAATGGGGAGTATGCCATCAGGTCCACTACTTGAAATAGGAGGTAGATTAGAAATGAAATTTAAAACATCATTTTCAGTAAAAGTTAGTTGATTAAATAAGAAGGTAGAACTATTAATATTATTATTTAAGTTTTTGTTAATATAATTATTATGAGTAGTATTAATAGGATTACAATATGCCTTAGCAAAATAAGATGCAAAAAGGTAAACAATATCTTGGTGATTATCCACTGAGATAGAATCTAACGTGAGAATTTTAGGTAGGGCTGTCTTGTCTCTACGATTATTTATAAATTGCCAGAACTACTTTGGGTTATTTTTAATAGATGATTGAGATTTGATAATATAATTATTATAGTCAAGCTTTGCTAAACATTTGCATTAAGCTCGTAATTGAGAAAAATTATTATAATCATAAATATTATTAGTTTGTTTATAAGCTAATTGAGCAATTTTTTTCTTTTATTTATGAATTTTATGTCAAAATTGACTTAATAACTCAAACAAAATTTATTAAAGATATGCTTTATACCAGAGGTTCCCAAACATTTTATTGTATGACCCATTTTGGGAAATTTTTAAAATTTGGCGACCCACAATATCAATGAATCAATGAATGATCTTTTTTTTTTTTTTTATCAGTTGCTTATGACAAAAAATTTAAAAAGATAGATTTTATCAATATATTTTTATAACTATTCATTTAGTTAGTAAAAAAGGAGTATTAATTATTTGATTAGTATAACATAATTTTAATGTGAAGGATGTAATTGCTTCCTATTTTTCATCACTTCATCGATATCCACTTCAACATTTGTAAGCTTGAGTCGCAGTGAGTTTGACAGTTTCAATTTGTTCCGTAATTTGGTTTTTATAGCAACCATTGCCGAAAATCCCACCTCACAATTATATGATGAAATAAATGGGAGTATAATCTTTACAGCTTCATTGGAAATAGTTGGATAAATTTATTGAAGAGATAGCCAGAAATTTATTAATTTTTTTCGATTGAAATTCATTTTAAATACACTATCTTCAAAAAGTTCGATTAATTCTTCTTTAGCTTTTATTGATAACTCATTTTGCATGTCATGTTCTTGAAAAGGATTTGAAATCCATTTCATTTGTTGATAATTCTCCATGTCTCTCAAAAAATACGAATCAAAATTATCTTTCAGTGTAAGTAAATGATCAGAAATAGATGTAATAATGTTATCATCAACTTCTATTTGATTTTCAATTATGAAATTAGAAAATGATTCAAAACAGCCAAACATCTTGTTCTCAATATTATTTTTCCACAGCAAAAGTTTTTTCATAAATGCTCGAATTTTGTCGTGAACTGAAAATATATCTCCGCCTAACCCTTGCAAATATAAATTAAGTTAATTCAATTTGGAAAATATATCTGCTAAGTAAGTAAGTTTTAAAATAAACTTTTCATCACATAAGAATTTTATGTAATCGGTTTTTTCGTCCAAATAATACGTGACTTCTTCGCGAAGTTCGACAAGTCTTGTAAGAACTTTCCCCCTCGATAGCCAACGTACCTCAGAGTGAAGAAGAAGTAATTTGTGATTACTGCCCATTTCTTCACAAAGCTTCTCAAATAAACGGGACTGCAACGGCTTTGCCTTAATGTAATTCACTATTTTTACAGACGTGTTTAATACACTTCTAAAATCATCTGACAAAGATTTCGATACTAATGCCTCTCTATGGATATTACAGTGCATCCATGGCACATTAAGATTAATTTCACGAATTTTAGTAATAACACTACTGTTCCTACCACACATTGCTCGGGCGCCGTCCGTACATAAACCGATACATTTCGACCATTCAATTCCTTTCGCTGTTACATAATTATTAAGGGTATTAAAAATTTCATTACTTGTACCTCGAATAATCGGTTCACAGCACAGAAAATCCTCGTGACATTCATTCATCCATATGTAACGTACGAAAACAATAATTTGAGATAAGCCTTGAATATCTGTGGACTCGTCTATTTGTAATGAGAACCATCTATTCAAATTAACTTTTTCGATCAGTTTACATTCTACCCATTCGGAAATTTCGTCGATTCTACGAAACACTGTGTTATTTGAAAGCGATAACTTTTCAATATCTTTTAAAAATTTTTGATCAAACGTGATTCCGACTGCGTCTTTTATTGCAGGTAAAATTAAAGACTCACCAATTGTGTGAGGCTTTCCAGTTTGAGCAATTCGTAAACTTATTTTATATGAGGCGTACGTAGCTTTTTGGTTAATTGCGGTGAAATTAAAAATATTATTTTTTGATGTTTTTAGAGATTCTAGTTTTCTTTCATAAAAATCGAGTGGTTTATTCTTCATTTCTGGATGGTTCGTATATGTCGATGTAGTTTGTTTGGTCGCATACTCTCATTTGCAAGTATACATCCACAAATAACACATTGTGGACGTGGATGTTCTTCGTCTCCATTCCATGAAAATCCAATTTGCAAATATTCAGAACAATATTTTCTTAAAATTTTTTTTTGTTTTAACTCAGGAGAACTTGTTGAAGGCTCATCGTAATTTAATTTTCTTTTTTTATCTGTTGATGCAGATATTGTCTCTGTTTTTTCTTGACTTCGAGTCATGGACTTTTTGTTCAACCATTTGTCCATAGGTGTACAAAAGTACAAAAAAAAAAACGAATTTATTTGAGAAAAAGTAATATTAAATAAACAA